CAGCTCTGCTCACCCGGTCCATCAGCTCCGCCATCCCACCTGGACCTCCAGGCTTCTCCTGCCCTCCCCGTCCCCAGCTGCCCCTGGCCAGGCTCAGCTCCGAGCCCCTTCCCTCCAGCTGGAAACTGCTCTGCCACCCCAAAACCCTTGCAAACCAGGTGGTGACACCCCTTGGGGTGCCTCAGCTCCAAGGCCAAGCGGGGAGATGGTACCCGGGTTGTCAGAGCTGGCACGGATGGCAAAACCCCGACGGCTGCTGCATCCCTGGGTGCAGCGATGCTCTGAGCACCCTGTGGGTGATGATGGAGACCCTCGGAGCCCCTTCCCCGGGAACCCGCAGCCTCTGCGCGCGGCTCAGTGGAGGGAGCGAAGCCGCCAGGGGAGCGGAGCAGGGGGGCAGGAGGGGAGGATGGCGCGCGGGAGGGGAAGAAGCCAAAAAGGAGTTTTTGAAAGAAGTGAGGCTTTGCTTTCTACCCCGATCCGGGGCAGGGCTCCAGCCCTGTCGCTCGGTCCCCAGAGGACCTGCAGCCAGCTGGGCCCAACGCCGGGGGGGTGAAACGCCCGCCATGAGGGTCCCTCCATGTGAGGGGCACCCTGAGGCATCCCACCCTTCCCAGCACGGCTGCATCCCCTCAGCCCCTCCATGGGCCCTGGGGTAAAAAGAACGAATTACCTCAGAAACACACTTTTCTTAAAAAAAACACGAAACCCAACGAGCCGCCAGTGAGGCATCTGAGGCAGCGAGTCTCTTCATTTATTCATTACCAGATAATACCCAAATCTGGCTAATTAATATTCCTGCATATTTTCCAAGGGCTGATGAGGTATCTTCAGCATCTCGCCGAGATGGGCTTTCATATTTATAAGGTTGATGTGCAAACTTAAATTGCCACTGTCTAAATATACCCCTCATGTTTAAGCCTGGGGCCCCACTCCCGGGGTGTCAGGGGGGTTCCCCGGGCACGCACCCCGGCTCGAGGCGGGACCCGAGGGCTCGGCGGGTGGGAGAGCCACCCAAAGAGGCTCCCATGAGCCGAGGCATGATGTCCATGCTCCTGCCAAGATGGGAGATTTCTGTTTCCTCAGGTAAGGGGAGCGGAGCACGGCGAGCACTGACCCGCTGGTGGCACCCACGCCGCTGGACGGGGCGACAGGTACGGGGCTGGGCCCGCAGCTTCCTGCCGAAACCCTTTTCCAAGGTTAAAAATAGGACTTGGTTGCAAACTGAAAGCCTGGTTTGCATTCGCCCTCATTATGTTGATTGCTTATTTACATGTATGCAAATGGAGGCAGCGGCTCCTCCACCTGGGGACCCCTCGGCACGGCAGAGCATGAACCCCACCGGGTCAATCCCTGCTGCGGGATGGGCCACGGTGCTGCCACCCCCTCCCCAGTGGAGCCCAAAAATGCAGCACCAGCCCCTCGTGAGGCACCGATCATGGTGCTGAGCAGCAGACCCATGCCC